CGAAGGTGAATGGATTTACTCAAAAATTATGATGTGACCATTTAATACCATCTGGGTAAGGCTATATAGTGGCGGACGCTTTGAGGCGAAAAGTGGTGAGTATGGGTAGTTTAGCTTGCTTTAGTGTAACTAAGCGACCTTCGGCTAGGGAAATTCAGACCTTGGAGTCCAAATTCATGCAATTGGGCATAAAAAAAAAGGCGGGGTGTTAGCTAGCAATGAAGTTAGGGCCACATTCATCGAAGAGATCAAGGCCAAACAATTTGAGGATGGAAATTTGAATGAACTTAAGAAGGAGACTGCGATTGGTAATGCATAAGAGACCACTCTTGATGCGGAAGGTGTGCTCAGTTTTAAAGGAAGGCTTTGTGTTCCTCGAGTTGATGACTTGGTTCAGAAATTGTTGACATAATCCTATGGTTTGCGATATTCCATTCATCCGGGTGTGACCAAGATGTACCGACATTTGAAGCAAATTTATTTATTGTCGGGCATGAAGAAAGATATAGTGGAGTTTGTGACTAACTGTCAAAATTGCCAACAAGTAAAATATGAGCATCAAAGGCCTACAGGTTTGCTTTAAAGAATGCCAATTCCAGAATGGAAGTGGGAGAGGATAGCCATGGATTTTGTAGTTGATTTTCCCAAGACTTTGGGGAAGTTTGATTCTATTTGGGTAGTGGTTAATAGATTGACTAAATCAGCCCATTTTATTCCGGTAAGAAAAGATTATAATGCTGAACAATTGGCTAAAGTTTATGTGGAAGAGATAGTGAGGTTGGATGGGGTGGCCCTTTATTTCATCTTAGACCATGGTACCCAATTCACATCCATGTTTTGGAGGAAGTTACATGATGAATTGGGCACACAACTCACTTTTAGTACGGCCTTCCATCCACAGGCGGACAGGCAGTCCGAGAGGACTAATCAAGTGTTAGAAGACATGTTGAGGGCATGTGTGATTGATTTTGGAGGGCATTGGGATAAGTTCTTACCTTTGTGTGAATTCTCCTATAATAATAGTTATCACTCCAACATAGATATGGCACCATTTAAGGCACTTTATGGGAGGGGATGTAGATCACCCATAGGATGGTTTGAGACTGGACATGTGAAACCTTTGGGGGTTGATTTAGTGAATGATGCTCAAGATAAAGTGAATAGTATTCAAGCTAAACTTCTAGAAGGACAAAAGAAGTATGCAGATCATAAGGTAAGAGACATGACATTTTAGACTGGTGAGAATGTTCTTCTTAAGGTGTCACCCATGAAAGGGGTGATGAGATTTGGCAAGAAGGGCAAGCTTAGTCCTTGTTACATTGGTCCCTTTGAAGTTCTTGAATGTGTAGGGCCAGTGGCTTATAGATTGGCTTTACCTCCTAACCTATCGAGAGCTCATCTGATGTTTCATGTGTCCATGTTGAAGAGATATCATGGTGACGGGGATTATATCATTAAGTGGGACTCAATTGTGTTAGATACAGACCTCCAATATGAGGAGGAAACGGTTGCAATTCTTGATCGTTATGTGCGTATTTTGAGGACCAAAGAGATTAAGTCCATGAAGGTTCAATGGAAGCATCGTCTAGTTAAGGAAGCTACTTGGGAAACCGAGAGGTACATGCAAGACAAGTATCCCCAATTGTTCGTTGATTTAGGTACTACCCCATTCTCTCTTTAGCATGTTTTTCCTAAATTTGTCACTCGGGAATGAGTAATTGGTAAATTGGTATCTATTCTAACGACCTATTCCCGTTGCTATAGAAAAGACAATGGGAAAAACTTTTGGGTCGGAAAACTTTTTCGTAGTAACTTGGGATTTCCCAACCTAGTCCAAATTTGAACGAAATCATAGTATGTGAGGTCTAGGGAAATTTGGTATCAATTGGGCGATTTAATAATGATGTTGATTATGAGTAGGTAGCTAAGACGTTAAGGAACCCGTATGACTTTACGAAACTAAATTCGGGTGAGTAAAACTCCCAAAACTAATCTTGGCGTGAACGGGTAGTTTTTAGTGTCGTTGGTTGAAGGTGTGTTGTGAAATAGGGGTATTGGAATTATTAAATTATCTAATTGTTTCGTGCAAGCCGCTACAACAGGAATCTGTGGTGGGGCAGACGCGACTTAAAGTTGGAAATAAACCCCAAAATATCTTTATTCTACATTTTTTAAACTTGAGAGCTAAGGAACGAACCCAGGGCTTTTCTTGACAAGTTTCCATCATTCTTGAGGCTAAAGGTAATAATTTCACTCCCCAAATCTATTTTTCAATGCGTAGAACGTAATCTAATAGGTAATTATCGACGGGGAAGAGTTTTGACCAGAGAATTATGGTGGAAAACGCCCTAATTTGGATATTGGGATCATGGGTTTTATCTAGGGTTGATATAATTGTTAGTAATTCGGGTAATTAGTGATTGTTTATTGATTTCCGTGTTATTTTGATTGTTTGTAGACCAAGAACAAGCGGAAAGAATCTGGAAAGGAAGGAATCAAGTTTCTTAAGGGATTCAAGGTTTGTTCGAGGTAGGTGATGGTTGTGATTTCATATTGTGTGATATATGTTTTTTCTTTCTTCATTATGATACATATATGTATGTGAATGTTGCATTATTGATCACATTATTCGTAAATGAGGATGATTGAATAATTATTGCCATGACATCATGAATTGATTGTATGACTATGAGAATATACTTGTGATTGTGGATTGGTGAATGGATCGGGTGTTGCGTTTCAACACACTAACTTGGATCAGTTACCACGTTCCGACATAATTATGGATCAGTTGCCACGTTCGACATAATCATTGGATCTGGTACCACGTTCCGGTATGCTAACAATTTGGGTTTGGGTTCCATGAGAGGACCAATGACTTGATATAACTGTGATATTTGAGAATTGTGAAACTGTTCATTTTTTGTAAATGTTGATGATATTTTATATATTTGGTGTATGCATGTTATTATTATGTTGTATTGACTTATGTAAGTTGAACTTAGTGGGATCGCCGCGTGATCCTACCAATACATTATGGTTGTGTAGTGATACTGCACTTGCTCTTTATTTGTTGAATACAGGGCATCTTCAGGCAGCTATTGACAGACCTCACTTAGAAGATCAGTGACCGCTTCGAATTCAAGGGTGTGCCCGTTCTTCCAGGCTACCATGAGTTCTCTTTTTGTTTATGTCCACATTTCGGACTTAGACTTTCTAGTTAGTTATAAGTTCATTAGTTGGGGTTGTAATCCTTCTTGTTTAGACTTATGGATCTTGTTAGAGTTTTGGTACATTGACTTTCAGGTTCTAGGTGTTACATCCGCATTTGTTATAGTTGTTAGACTTTTGTTTGGAGTTTATGGGAACTCCCTATTTCTTTCCTTAGCATTTAACTTGCTTCTGTAACTTAAATATTTTAGTATTTGATTGAGTTGGTTAGCTAATTAGTATAAATGGTTCTCCCACCAGAGGGTTAGTGTGGGTGCCAATCACGATGGTCTGGGTCGTGACAGTAGGATGACCTACAGTCTTAGGTTGGAGTTGTAGGTCATTTATGTGCCAGGTTTCAGACTTGACTCACACTTCATGCCTTATGTCAACAATTACACAATCAAAATAGGCCTATACATGCATTTCAATATATAATATGGTAGTTAATCATCCTTAGGGTTTTGTTGACACACATTTCAACATTTTAACAAACCGAAACATACGAACCCTAAGTCAAAACTTCCAATTCGACCTATTAACTAATTTAGTTGGTTATAATTTACAACACACTCACATACCATTATTTCAAGGGTATTTCTACCTACAGTTCAACATTCAAACACATAATTTACAACCCAAGGTCGAGTTCATTGTTGTGATTTCAGTATGAAAATATGAAATGTTGAAAGTTTTGGAGAAATCAACTTACCTTACAAGTAATCAACAATGGTGAGTGTGTGATCGACTCCAAAAACTCCTAAACCAACGTGCACACCAAACTCGGACCGTGAATTCACTTTGGGGTGAAGATGGAAGTGATTTGGGAGAGAAAAGAGAGATTATGGGATCTGTGGGATTGTTGTGGGGATGATATGGGGGTTATGAGAGTGATTTGGGGGATTTAGAAGTTTGAAAGATGGTTGGGGGGAAGAATATGGACATCGAAAGTGTTTAAAATTAAAAGGTTTTATAAAATAGGGGTCGGGTCGGGTCGGGTCATGCAGAACCCTAATTTTGGACCCACGAGACCCCGTCGATGGTATGTGGGTTGACCAATGAATCGTAGGTAGGGTAGGTCACTCTGACACTTAGAAAATTTTAGAAACTTACCTGGGATAAATGGACACCATTCACAGACCGTGGATGGACCAACGGACCGTTGATGGGGTCCATAGACCTGTGCACAGCTATTTTCTGCATATTTTGCCTTTCGTCCCTACACACGTAGCAACCATTAGGACTTTCTTTTTACATTTTATGGACAGTTTTTAGACACAGACCCTATTCTATATCTAGCCAACACTAATATAAAAATAAAACACCTATCAAAAGAGCTACAAAAATCAAAATAAATGAAGAAAATTCCTATATCGAAAAGAAAAACCTATAGTTGGCTACATTGTATATCTTGGGTTACCTCCCAAGCAGCGCTTGATTTAATGTCTCGAGACGATGCATACACCTTGATTACACAGACTTCATCAAGATTCCATGCCTCTATCACTGCATTGACATTCTCAGAATTTCCCATGTAGTTTTTATCTTCCAGTGGTTGGCCTTGAACCTTATCCCCTTCCTTTTCTCGAGCTCAACCATTCCTTGTGGGGACACTTGGGTCACTCTAAAGCTAGTTCGCACTTTTCTATCTTTTGCTCATGCTGCTTTTTCTCCTTGCACAAGGCTGCACCTAACTTCTCTTTACTAGATACCTTAGAACCTTGTTCCACAATGTGACTCACCACAGATACTACTTTAAGGTCACTTTCCTACTTTATAGACCGACATACATTAAATGTCACCTCCTTCTTATTCAGTCGAAACTTCATCTGTCCTTTCTCCATTTCGACTAAGGCGCACCCAGTGGCGAGGAATGGTCTCCCTAAGATGATGGGAACCTCAAAGTCAACTTCGCAATCAAGTATCACAAAGTCCACCGGAAAAATAAATGGCCCCACTTTCACAAGGATATCCTGAAGCACTCCAATGGGCTTCTTCACAGTTCTATTAGCCATAAGTAAACGCATCGCAGTTGGTTTTGGAACTCCTAAACCCAACTTCTTATAAATTGACAATGGCATCAAATTAATTCTTGCCCCTAAATTACACAAGGCCTTTGCAAAAATCATCTTACCGATGGTGCAAGGAATAGTTAAATCTCTGGGATCCTCTTTGTGTTGTACCAGTGACCTCGTTGAAATGGCACTACAATGCTGCAACCTCTCATCATTCTCAAAACTAACATCCCTCTTTTTGGTCACCAAGTCCTTCATGAATTTTGCATACCCAGGCATTTGCTCCAAGGCTTCTATCAACGGGACATTGATGGAAAGTTGTTTCGACATTGTTATGAACCTGCGGTATTTTCCTTCCTCAGTCTTTTGTTTTAACCTCTGTGGGAAGAAAAGTGGAGGTCTAGGCATGGGCATAACTTTCTAGGTCAACTCAACCTCTTTCTATGCATCATCTTTTGTCTCTCCAGTAACAACAACCTCATCTGCATCATTTTCTATCATCTTTTCAACCTCATACGGCATGGAAGGATCAATAGTCTATTTTCCTCCGCGAGTCGTGATTGCCATACAATATCCATAATTTTTTGGATTCTAGATGGTGTTGCTGGGAAGTGTGACCGGTTGGCATGGATTCACTGTAGCGGACAACTGACTGAGCGGATGCTCCAGTTGCTTGATCGACACTGCATGGGCATCAACTTTCTGACCAATCCGTGACAACTCAGTCCGCATATCTTTCACATTTTCATCAATAGCATCAAACCTCTTCATCATCTTTTGCATCATATCCTCAATGTGTTACATACTACCACCAGCCTCTCTATTACCAGATTCCCTATTACCAAGTGGAACATAGGGCCAAACTTTCTCATTCTTGTTACCATAGGTGTTCCGATTATAGTTGTTATCACAATTGTAGTTCCCATCTCTGATATAGTTTCCCTCTAGATTGTAGTTTTTATAGTTCCGACCTTGGTTTCCTTGATCGTGGTGCCAATTATTCAAGTTTGAAACTTGGGCATTGGCTCGAAAACCCTCCGTCTGATCATTAACCAAATATGCATCCTCCTTATAGTAGCATTCCTCAGTTGGTAGTGGTGGAGTTTTAATTAAGTAGTTTACTTCATTCACCTTCTCTACACCTCCGTCAAATGCTTTAATACCAACCCTAGTTTTGTCCTCATTTGAGCTATGTCGTCACAAATATCTTCATTAGATTGACTAGGTGTAGTTTCAACTGCAAAGAAAACCACACCACAACATCACCAGTCAATGATAGAGGGAAGACTCTCAAGCTTATGACATTCATATCCAATTTCAGTCATCCCACACAACTTTTGCAGACACTTCTCAATTTAGCCATGTGACCATGCAGATCTTCTGAAGCTAGAACAAAAAACAACCCTCTTGCTATAAGCATTTGCATCAGACTGTTAATCACCACAAATGTATGCCTTGTAGGTAGAGGAGGGAGAACAATAGGTCCTTCTAATTCAACGGTATTGAATTCCACCCTATAGTTATCACGCAACATCAGTTATGGCGGATTTTGTACCATGAATGCATCTACCAATAGAATACCACCACGAACCTGAGCATTCTCATTACCTACTCCAGGAGGTTGCAAGTCAACTCCGTCCTCATCCTCCTCTATGATTGGATTATTATAGACCCCTCAATTTTCCATCTTTCTCAAAGTGTTGCTTATTTCAGGATTATAAGGGTTCAATGGTTCGCCTCGACTCTGTGTACTTGGCATTCACTAGAGTAGAAACCTATAGAAAACAAAAACAAAATAAAAACGTAAAATTAAGAAATACTTGACTAAAGTTCAATAATGTAGTTATACTTAATCTAAATTCCGAATTCCCCGGCAACTGCGCCAAAATTTGATATACTCAAATTACACCTCCCTAAAGAAGTATAAGCGATCGTTGTCAAATAAATAACCTAACTTGTAGGTTGGATTCGATCTCACGAGAAATATGGTTCAGACTTAAAAGTAACTCACTATTATATCTGTTTAGTCAAACAATTTCCGAGACAAGTAAATAAAGGGGGGTTTGTAATCAAGTAATAAATTGTTGATTAAGTAACAAGTGAGCAAGATTCAAACTTTAATTTATCAATATGAGAGAGAAATTAGGGCATATGTGTTCCCCATAAGCTCTTAACACAGTAATCCTATTAATAGTAATCCTTTCCTAGTGTTTTACATGCAAAGTTGGTAAGTTAGGTATCCCTAAGTGATTGGTCCTCCAAATACGACAATTCACTATGCACCTTGGACCAGCTACGAGTGTATACTTTACTAGCCCTTACCTTTTTCTAAGATTATACATCACATCAATGTATGGCTTAGTTTTCACCCTCGCACCAATTGACATTAGACTATTAGATAGCATCCACTAAATCTCTGTAATTAATCTTTTTCTCATTAACTACCTCCTTGGTCCGGCAAGTACAAACAACGCAAGTTCTAACATTTGCAACCGTTAAAAAGACTTCTAAGCGAAAGAATTAACAATACATGCATTAACACTATTCAAAAATTACTTAGTTATTATTCATACTTTGTTAATTGCTCATGGTTCCCACAACCTTAGTTGTGGATTTAGCTACTCATATTTGAGAGTTCACAATTCATGTTTAAGAAGAAAGAATTCATGAACTTACAATTAGAATAGATGAAACCTGAAGATCTTCAATTTAATTGCAATGTGAAAATCTTATAAAACAAAATCCGGAAATCAAATTGCTAAAGTTTGCAAGTTAATTCCCAAAACACAAAAACTAAGCCAAAAATGAGGTTTATAACTCCTATTTATAGAAAACAAATCTTAAATAAAAAGGACACAAAATAAGGAAATAAACTTTTGGAATGCGGCTTCATTCGAAGACTCGACCTACGGATCGTGGGCCGACCAACAGTCCGTAGGTCCCCTTCTGTGGCTCCACACCAAGGATTTTTCATCAGGTACTGGAACTTCAGCTCTCTGAATCCATCGACAGATGTGAAGGACGGCTTGTGGGTCGACCTACGGTTCGTCAGTTACTTCGTAGTTCCACACTTAGTAAGAATTCCCTAATGTTCGATCTACGCCTGCCCATTGACGGTTCATCAAAGGACCTACGGTCTATGGATCAGTTCTGTGGGTGGCTCCTTCTGGATAATTTCAGCTCTCATCTCCATCAACCGCGTCCAAGCCTATTTCCTGCAAACATAACACATAAAACATTATTTCTAACACAATATATCCCAAAACACATAACTTCTTAGTGAAATGTATCAAAAATACCATAAATTCACGGTATATCATTATCCTCTCCGTGTCATGGAGAGGGCTTTGTGGAAGAAATAGATAGGTCCATACAGCATCGTGTCATAGACCTGTCAGCCTAGTTTTGCTGATTTTGTACAACTTATAAATGGACTTGGTTTTTATTATTTTAATTATTCTTTTTCTATTTTTTGGAGAACACGTCTTGGAGGTTATACCTATTCCATATTTAGGGTTCATTCCTACTCTTTTCATCTATTGATTTCTTGTATGATTATTTAATATTCAAAGATTGAGAATCAAAACATGAGTACCTTATCCCTTTTATTCTGGGGTTGTGGCTACAAATAATTGTGTAGTATTGAATCTATGGATTGAATTATTTTATCAATTGAAGTTACTCTTTTAGTGTCACAACCTAAGGGTAAACCCTAGATGTTGGTGAACTTGACCCCAAACGGGTCTCATACAAGACATTAGCATATCATAACATAAGATAATAGAAAAGTACGGAAATCTTAAAAACTTTATCCATACAATCGAAGTCATTTATAAAAGCAAGCAAAAGTGTTTCTACACTTTGTCTCAAACCATCTAATACAACTTTGAATAAACTCTTGGGACACAACCCATACAATAGTCTCAAACATAAAGAAATGACATAAAGGAAATGGTGGCTTTATCCTCGATGCTATGAGGACTCACCAAGTCTTCAACTCTTTGCTCCTTAGAAACCCATCCTCAAAAATGGAACTCAAATCACCGAACCCTACATTTGATTAGAATGTAGGCAAGAGTATGCATTAGTACAAAAGTACTAAATATGATAGCTAGCATAACATCATAAGAGCATAACATAAGGGTTAGTCAATATAAGCCCTATACCATAATCATAGGAATAACTTCATGACACATAAACTATAAGCAAAAGAGACAACATCATAATCATAAGAAAAGTCTCCAACATATGCATCATATAAGAATTAGTCAACCCTTAGACCATCATATCATAAGAGGACTACTTCTCATGTAACCTCAAAGCATACTTGTGCAATGCATGAATAAGACCCCATAATCCCATTCATACTAAGTATCCCCTTTGGTCATCATATTCATATTTACCATCTTATGATCAAATCCTTACTTCTCACAAATAAGAGAATCTTCATATAAAAGAAATTTCATAAGTAACCTTCAAGTTACACTGGTGCAATGCATAGACGAGACCCCATAATCCCACCTAGGCTAAGTACCACTTTTAGGCCATCATACTTCTTTATCATCGTTTAATCTCATCATTAAATTACTTCTCATAAACAAGGGAATCTCTCACCTTTATTCAATCATAACATGGAAGGCAGCTTTAGCAACAATTCATCTAAACATATATCATATAAGAGAAACACTTCTTAGGTAACCATAAGCCATATTTGTGCAATGCATGGATAAGACCTCATAATCCTACCCGCACTAAGTATTCCTTTAGGTCCTCATTCTTATACTTCTTGGTTGGAAACTAGTCCCTCTGTTTAAACCTTAGAACACTATGACGTATTTCCTTAAGCACATCTTAGCTCATTATTAAATTAAACCCTATGAGATAGTTCTTTAAGCATGTCTAGGTTCATTATTAAGATTGACCCTGTGAGATACCTCCTTAAGCATGTCTAAGTCCATTAATGTTTTTGAACACATGGAGATACTTCTACAAGTATGTCTTAGTTTATTGGATACAGAGAATGCTACTAGAAACATTAACTCCACTATGTGAAGGCTTCCATCTCATGAGACCTAACTTTGGGAAAACCTGCACTCTACTACGTAAGAGTTCCCCCTTTTACTTGGATAGTCCTCAGATCAACTAGGTGTGCTTCTCCTCTCAACTTGGAGCTCGGACTCTACCTTGTGTGATACTCCATCTCATTGTCAATATCCACTAGGGGTCAACCTTACACCCCTAGATTCACTAATAATCCTTTCTTAACAGTTATGTCTCATGGAAAAATGTCCTTGACAATCAATCCATGTTTAATTGATTATATCACTTTATACATTCAAGTATTCATAAGGTAGGTTAGTTGAGTATAGGCGCGTGTACCTCCTTTTATCCTATCCGACACTGTCAATGCCGCATCAAAGATCCCCTCAGGAGATGGGATGAACTCCCACAAGAATCAGAAGGTAATCGACGACGAGGCAAGGTAAGCATATTTGAGAGCAGCTCATGTAGGACTCCCAAAATAAAGAGTATCTTCACTTTCACCACAATTCTACCTATTAGACCTCTATTCTCATATAGACGTTATTCTCAAAGCCTTAACACACATAACTCATCACATTGGCTTTACTCTCAAAACCCTCGTGATCAACATTCATGACTACAAGCCTTATTCTCAAATATTTACTTCATCATATCATCATTCATATCTAGATCACAAGACATTCAAGTCACAATCTTCATCTTTAAGAAATTCTAGTCATAATTCATCATTAAGACTCAATCTCATTAACTACTAGTCAAGATCCATCATATAATCTTTAATCCAATTCAATTCATTTTTACATACTTCTATTCTTGATCAATTGCTATACATAAAATTAATTCTAGAAAAGCACCTATAAATCCTCAATTTTTCTTCACAAGGCATAAACCCACATTCTTCAATTTCATCAATTAAACTAGGGTTAGCCATGGAAAACATAAAATATCATCAATATATCATGATTCAATAATAAATCAATAATAAACAAGTACTATCCACTCAATTGGAATCATACTCAACACTACCCACAACATAGGAAGAAACCCTAGCTAAAAATTGGGGGAATCTAGGGGGCTCTATGGATGGAAGAATCCATAGATGAATAAGCTATCATACTTTGATTATAAATCCCTCCCAATGCGTGCAACAATGGACGAATTTGACCTAGCTTTCTTCTCTTCTTCTTCTTCTTCTTCACTTTCTAGAGAGAGGATTTCTTGAAGGGAATTAGGGTTCTTTTGATGAGTTGAAAATAATGTCTAGGATTAATGTAATTAGGGGTCTATTAGGTTTATATAGGTGGTCTAATTACTAATAAAATGACACCACTTAACCCCTAACTAATAATGAATTAAACCCTAAGTCCCCAACTTAAAAGGACTTGACTTCAAAACTGCCTCACCCACGAAACCCTGACCCACGGACCGTGGGTGGGTCTACGGACCGTACTGGTCCTTCGTGGGTGGAGGACTGGAGATTAACTTCAAGGCCTTAACCCACGGCCCTCTCCCACGGGGCGTGGATCCCCATTGTAGGTGGGTTGTTTTTTGACAGCTTTTAGGGCTGTTTTAGGGTCCTCCTCAAGGACCCCTTGGTTTGTCCTTGGGGAGTAGTACCTTGACGTTTAACCCCTAAACCCCTCATTCTAAGTACGGGAAGGGACTTCTACAACTCTAACCCCTACGTAAAGCTCTAGAACCCTTACGTTAGGCTCTAGTTAAGTCTATGAATTTCCGGAATGTTATAGTATCTCCCCCTTGGGATCATTCATCCTCGAATGACGATTCTAAACACTTCTTAAAGGAAACGACTCTAGACTAGCAGACCATCATGCATGCAACTCATCTAAATGCACATGAAAAAAGTAGGAAAACTTCAATTCCAAGCTAAACATACTCAATCAAACACAAGGGAGTAGGAACTAAATCTAACAACCCAAAATGCATGAAATTCATCACTCCTCATATTATAGGAGATGAACTACCTTCTCCTAACTAAAGCATGATTAATCATACATTCATGGAGCCTAAATGCAATTTACTCTCAAAAAAGCATTTTATTCATGGAGAAATCGTTCAACCCCAAACTAAGGCATTCTCATTAATTCATCTTATGAAGTCTATAGGCAACTTATACTCCATCTACTGCAACATGAGGAAAACAATGCATATAAGTCATTTGTATCAAGATCTAAACTTTTTCATGAACATGCATATATATGTAATCATGGAAACACATAAACACACAATAACTTTACAAGATAGGCACCCCATCTTCCCCTTGGGAGTAAGCCTACACAACCTCTCCTAAACATTATTCCTACTAAATACAACTTCAAAGTCTAACATATCAAGTCATAAAAGAACAAACAATCAGGAAATGCTAGTTAGAACACTTCCCACTCTATTGGGACCGCTTCTACCGGCCAAGCAAATTTCCATTGTTCATACCATATTTGAGAAACATCCTTCAATTGGTAAGAGGCTAGTTCCGCTTTTTCTACCGAAGTCACCCCCATGATGGCAAGTACCTTATAAACCTAATCTATAAACCTATTAGGATCCTCTCCCATTTTAGAGCCATAAAACTCCTGAGGGTTCATCCTAAAAAGCTCCCTCATTCTAGAAGCAGTTATCTCCCTTATTGGGTTCGCTAGAGCTACAACCTCTCTATTTGCTTGCATCGCCAAGGCTTGAGCCAACAATTTCATAGTAGACCTAAATTCCACATGAGTCACATTCTCCCCCATAGGGTCAATTAGAGCTTGACGAGGTGCTTGGTGTGGAACTTGGTGAGGAACCTTTTGATCCATATTGCCTTCCTCATCTCTCCTAGCATTTGCCCTTGTATTAGCCATACCCTGAAAAACCATAGGGCACAGATTGGAAAAAGGACTTACTAGAGCCAAACTCTATAGCACGACTTAGAGAATGAAAAAGTAAGATTTCCTAAACATCCAAAGCCTCATATTCATAAATGTGGTGCGCTTTACAGTTATGAACATGACTCTACTAGATGTTGTTTGAGACAATCCTAGAACTATTCTAAATATTTTTCTCTGATACAGATCGGTCTCATAAAAGCCCTTAGCATATCATAACATAAGATAATATAAAAGTACATAAATTTTAAAACCTTTATCCATACAATTGAAATCTTTTATAAAAGCAAGCGGGAGTCTTTCTACACTTTGTCGCAAACCATCTAATACAACTTTGCATAAACTCTTGGGACACAGCCCATACAATAGTCTTAACCATAAAGAAAAGACATAGAAGAAATTATGGCTTTATCCGCGATGTTATGAGGACTCACCAAGTCTTCAACTGCTTGCTCCTTAGAAACCTAACCTCAAAAATGGAACTCAAATAACCGAACCCTACATTTGATTAGAATGTAGGCAAGAGTATGTGTTAGTACAAAAGTACTAAATATGATAGCTAGCATAACATCATAAGAGCATACCATAAGGGTTACTCAACATAAGCCATATGCCATAATCATAAGAATAACTTCATGAAATATAAACTATAAGCATAAGAGACAATATCATAATCATAACCAAAGTCTCCAACATAGGAATCAAATAAGCATTAGTCAACCCTTAGTCCTTCAAATCATAAGAGAACTACTTCTCAAGTAACCTCAAAACATACTTGTGCAATGCATGAATAAGACCCCATAATCCCATTCATACTAAGTATCCCTTTTGGTCATCATATTCATATTTACCATCTTATGGTCATATCCTTAGCTTACTTCTCACAAACAAGAGAATATTCACATAAGAGAAACTTCATAAGTTATCTTCAAGTTATACTTGTGCAATGCATAGATGAGACTCCATAATCCCACCTAGGCTAAGTACCACTTTTGGGCCATCATACTTATTAATCATTTTTTAGTCTGATCATTAAATTACTTCTCATAAACAAGGAAATCTCTCACCTTGAGTCAATCATAACATGGAAGGAATCTTTAGCAACAATCAATCTAAACCTATTTCGTACAAGGGAAACACTTCTTAGGTAACCATAACTCATACTTGTACAATTCATGGATAAGACCCCATAATCCTACCCACACTAAGTATTCCTTTAGGTCATCAATATTATACTTCTTGATTGGAAACTAGTCCCTCTCTTTAAACCATTGAACATTATGAGGTACTACCTTAAGCACATCTTAGCTCATTATTAGGTTAAACCCTATGATATACTTCTTTAAGCATGTCTAGGTTCATTATTAAGATGGACCCTACAAGATACTTCCTTAAGCATGTCTAAGTCCATTAATGTTTTTCAACACTTGGAAATACTTCTTCAAGTATGTCTTAGTTCATTGGATACGGAGATTGCTACTAGAAACCTTAACTCCACTATGTGAAGGCTTCCATCTCATGAGACCTAACTTTAGGAAGACCTGCACTCTACTACATAAGAGTTCCCCATTTAACTTAGATAGTCCACGCATCAACTAGGTTTGGTTCTCCTCTCAACTTGGAGCATGGACCCTACATTGTGTGACACTCTATCCCATGGTCAATATCCACTAGGGGCCAAGCATACACCCCTAGATTCACTATTAAGCCTTGCTTAACACTCATGTCTCATGGAAGAATGTCCTTGACTATCAATTCATGTTCAAGTAATTCTATCACTTTATACAATCAAGTATTCATAAGGTAGATTAGGTGAGTATAGGCCTTTCACCACAATTCTACCTATTAGACCTCTATTCTCATATAGACTTTACTCTCAAATCCTTAACACATATAACTCATCACATTTGCTTTACTCTCAAAACTCTACTGATCAACATTCATGACTACAAGTCTTACTCTCAAATATTTACTTCATCATATCATCATACATATCTATATCACAAGACATTCAAGTCACACGCTTCAACTTTAAGCAATTCTAGTCATAATTCATCATAAAGACTCAATTTCATTCACTACTAGTCAAGATCCATCATATAGTCTTTAATCTAATGCAATTTATGTTTACATACTTATTTTCTTGATCAATTGCTATACATAACATCAATTCTAGAAGATCACCTATGAGTCCTTAATTTACCTTTACAAGGCTTATACCCACATTCTTCAATTTCATCAATTAAACTAGGGTGAGCCATGAAAAACATATGTTATCATCAATATATCATGATTCAATACTAAATCAATCATAAGAAAGTACTATCCACTCAATTGGAATCATACTCAACACTACCCAGAACATAGGAAGAAACCCTAGCTAGAATTAAGGGGTTTTCCTTACAATTGGAGGAAATCTAGGGGCCTCTATGGATGGAAGAATCCATACATAAATAATCTATCATACCTTGATTATAAAGCCCTCACAATTCTTGCAACGTTGGAATAATTTGACCTAGTTTTCTTCTCTTCTTCTTCTTCTTCTTCTTCTTCTTCTTCACTTTCTAGAGAGAGGATTTCTTTGAGGGAATTTGGGTTCTTTTGATGAGTTGAAAATAATGTCTAGGATCAATGTATTTAGGGGTCTATTAGGTTTATATAGGTGGTCTAATTACTAATAAAACGACACCACTTAACCCCTAAATAATGATGAATTAAACCCTCAGTCCCTAACCTAAAAAGGACTTGACTTCAAAACTGCCTCACCCACGAGACCCCGACCCACGAACCGTGGGTGGGTATATATACCGTATTCGTCCTTTGTGGGTGGAGGACTGGAGCTTAACTTCAAGGCCTTGACCAGCGACTTTCCCCCATGGGGCATGGGTGGACCCATGGCGCGTGGGTCCCCATTGTAGGTGGGCTCTTTTTTTTGACAGCTTATGGGGCTGTTTTAGGGTCCTCCTCAAGAACCCCTTGGTTGGTCCTTGGGGAGTCGTACCTTGACGTTTAAAGCCTAAACCCCTTTTTCTATGTATGGGAAGTAACTTCTACTACTCTAACCCCCACGTAAAGCTCTAGAACCCTTACGTTAGGCTCTAGTTAAGTCTATGAATTTCCGAAATGTTACAATATCTCCCCCTTGGGATCATTCGTCCTTGAATGACTATTCTAAACACTTCTAATAGGAAACGACTCTAGACTAGCTGCCCATCATGCATGCAACTCATCTAAACGCACATGAACAAAGTAGGAAAAAGTTTAATTCCAAGCTAAACATATTCAATGCAATACAAGAGAGTAGGATCTACATCTAATAACCCAAAATGCATGAAATTCATCATTTCTCATATTATAGGAGGAACTACCTTGTCCTAACTAAATCATGCTCAATCATACACTCATGGAGCCTAAATGCAATTTACTTTCAAAAAGGCACTTTATTCGAGGAGAAATCTTTCAACTCCAAACTAAGGCATGCTTATTAATTCATCTCATGAAGTCTATAGGCAACTTATACTCAATGCACTACAACATGAGGAAAACAATGCATATAAGTCATTTCTATCAAGACCTAAACTTTTTCATGAACATGCATATAAGGAAATATAAACACACAATAACCTTACTAGATAGGCACACCATCTCCCCCTTGGGAGTAAGCCTACACAAACTCTTCTAAACATCATTCCCACTAAATACAACTTAAAAGTCTAACATATCAAGTCATAAAGGACCAAACAGTTCCAGAACATAATAAAGCATAAAACACATACCGCTAGTCATACTAGGAGGTCACTCTTGATCATTCATAGCTTGGAGGAAATAAAACCTATTCTTCTTTCGAGTACTCTCATCTAGACCACTAGAAGCAACTTTCTTATCTTCTCATCCCTTGGCCTTAAGCCCCAGGCAATGCCTCATTTTTTGCCCACTCTTTCCACACCCATAACAACCATCCATGCCGGCAAGGTACTTACCATAATGATTCCTTCCACACTTGGTTCAAGTAGACTTAGGTAATGGAGACCCACTACATTTCTCTTGGTTAACCCTAGGGGTATAAGGGGAATCTTGACCGGAATACCTTTGTTTAGACTTAGTCCTACTTTGTCCATCAGACATAGCATTTGAAAAGTTCCCCCCATTGGTCCTAGCTCTCTTCATCTCCCAATTCTTTTTCCTAAGTTTTGATTCCTCAATTTGTTTTGCATACACCATAAGCCTAGAGATATCCATATTATCTACAAGCATTTCCGTACGACATTCTTCTTCAACCAATTCGGACACACCCGTCAAAAACCTACTCATCATATCCCTCAGATTTGCTTCCATATATGGAGCATACATAGAAAATAGAGAAAATTTGAAGGCATACTCCTTATCACTCATGCTACTTTGCTTAAGGTTGATAAACTCCTCTACCTTAGCCTCCCTCAACTTCCGGGGAAAGAACCTATCAAGAAATACTAGTTTTAACACTTCCCACACTATTAGGCCTGTTTCTACTGGCCTAGCATATTTCCATTGTTCATACCATATTTGAGCAACATCTTTCAATTGGTACGCGGCTAGTTCCACTTTTTCTACCGAAGTAACCCCCATGATGGCAAGTACCTTATAAACCTCATCTATAAACCCATTAGGATCCTCTTCCACCTTAGAGCCAAAAAACTCCCGAGGGTTCATCCTCAAAAACTCCCTCACTCTAGAACCAGCCATCCCCCTTATTGGGTTCGCCGGAGCTACAACCTCTCAATTGGCTTGCATCATCAAGGCTTGAGCCAACAACTGCATAGTAGACCTAAACACCACATGAGTCACATTTTCCCACATAGGGTCTATTGGAGCTTGGGGAGGAGCTTTGTGTGGAACTTGGAGAAGAACCCCTTGATCCATATTGCCTTCCTCATCTCTCCTAGCATTTGCCCTTATATTAGCCATACCTTGAAAAACCATAGGGCATGGATTAGAAGAAGGAACTACTAGAGCCAAACTCTATAGCACGACTTAGATGATGAAGAAGTGAAATTTCCTAAACATCCAATAGCGTCCTATTCATAAATGTGGCGCACTTCACATTTATGAACATGACCCTACTAGATGTGGCTTGACACAATACTAGAACCATTCTAAACCTTTTTCTCTAATACCAAGTTTGTCATGACCCAAGATTACACCCTAGATTTAACATGGCATACTTGGCCCCGAAGGGGTTTCATACAAGTCCTTAGCATATCATAACATAAGATAATATAAAAGTATGGAAATTTTAAAAACTTTATCCATACAATCAAAGTCTTTTATAATCCTTGAGTAAGTCCATCCACCTTCGTTGTCTTAGATTTAGGTCATTTTGAGTGAATACATGTTGTAGACTACGATGGAAAATAAACACCTCACACTTGGCACCAAAAAGGTAATGCCGCCAAATCTAAAGGACAAATACTACCACTACTAACTCCAAATCATGCGTCGGGTAGTTCCTCTCATGTACCTTCAACTGTCGCGATGCATAAGCTATAACATTTTTATCCTGAATCAACACGTCACCCAAACCCAAAGGTGCGGCTCCCTGGCTATCCTGAATAAAATTCTGCTACAGAGTTCCCGAGTAACCACTTGTAGAAGTGGGCAAGGCTGACTGAATTGGCCGGGTTGCAAGTGTCGGCCTACCCGAACCTCTGGGGTAGGAACTATGGAAGTCACCTGTGCTCTTGGGCTTCATAGCCAAAGCCTTGACCTATACATCACGTCGACCACCTTCCACTTTCTTCACAAAGTTTGTCACCTCATTAAAGCTTTTTCCTTCAGAGGTCATCTGAACAGACAATACTTGTAATTTGTGGTTCAATCCCTTGATGAATAGACAAATCCTGTCCTCCTCAGTAGTTACCAATTGTGTCGCATATCTAGACAAAGTATGAAATTTAGCCTCATAAGTAGCTACAGACATACCACCCTGCACCAAAGCCATGAACTCATCCTTCCTGCGATCTTTCATAGTCCGAGGCACATACTTTTCCAAAAATAGAGCATGAAACTGCGTCCAAGTGAGTGGGGGCAAGACTGGCATTCTGCATTCAACATAGGCTCTCCACCACTGCTTAGCCTCACCCTTAAGATGGATGTTCACGACCTCTACCCCATGCTGATGTACTATGCCTAACTTGTGAAGGATGTCGTAGCAATCCAAAATGAACTCATAAGCATCCTCACTCTCAGAACCATGAAACACCGACGACTTAAACTTCAAAAACTTAGTCAACATCTGAGTGCATTACCAGTCATCACAAGACCCAATAGGGGACACAAAAAGGCATTAGTGCCTACAACTCCACCCACCATGGGAATAGTAGCATCAATGGGGGTATTGGATAGGGGTTTAGCCATTTGAACTGTGGAAAGGACTCCAGGGACGACCAACCCTTTCAGAAAAGTCATGATTTTCTGAGCTAACAGTGGGTCTAAAGGAGGAATACATGTAGTTTCAGCCCGTACCTCCTCCTCTGGTCCAACATCCTCCTTGATTTCGAATTCCACATTCTCTTGTACTTCTTTTTGGGGCACAGGAGGGACCTCTTCCCTGGGAGCATTTTCAACTGGGACTATGTTTCTGGCAGGTGCTACCCTTCCTCGACCTCTACCCCTTCCTCTTCCTTTGCCTCGACCGTGGCCTCTTGCTGCGGGATCCTCACCTGGCTCATTGATGAGGGCTACGGGCCTAACACCATTGTATCATGTGTTAACCATTTGCAGACTGAAGAGTGAGAGAGTTTCGATACTAATTTGGATCACCAGATACCAATTGGAATCAAGTGATAGCATGAAAGGAGAAGAAAAGAAAAAGATTTCCTAAAGTCTGTCGCCTCTTGAAGAAAAGTACAGACGTCACTGTACCATTCCGCAAGACTCTACTATACTCGTTTTGGTACAACAAGATCAACGAACCTAGGGCTCTGATACAATTGTTGTCACGACCCAGACCATCGTGATTGACACCCACACTAACCCTCCAGTGGGAAAATCATTACTACAACCCAACTAAACAACTTAACAAAAAACTAGGCATTTAAAGATACGGAAACAGGTTTAAATGACGAATAAAAATGGAGTTCCCATAAACTCCAAAGATTTAAATAAAAATCTGAACAAACTATTGCGGAAAATAACTCCTAGAACCTTAAACTCATTGTACCAAAACTCTAAATTCAACAAGTCTAAGAAAGAATGGTACAACCCCAACCAAATATACGAAATATGTAAAACACTATTCCAAGTCTGAAGAGAATGGACTAAACAAAAATGAAAGGTCCATGGCAGCCTGAAAGAACTGGCTCACCCTCGAATCCGATCTCAATCAGTTATCTCCTAGCTGAGGTGTATCAGTAACTTCATGAAGATGCCCTATACTCAACAAAGAACTAGCAAGTGCAGTATCAGTACACAACATCAGTGTACTGGTAGGATCACGCGGCTACCCTAGTAAGTGAAATACAAGCAAACAATTACAACACAGTAAACACCCATATACAGAATACATAATCTAGTTCTCATTTCCAAATCAACATACAACTTCCCAATATCAATGACACATATACATGAACATAATAATCACAAGTGGTTCTCTCGTGGAACCCACACCCAAACTGTTAGTGTGTCGGAAAGTGACACCCGATCCAATGTATGTGTCGGAACGTGAACCCGATCCATTATATATGTCAGAACGCGACACCTTATCTAATGTATGTGTCGGAACGTAACGCCCGATACAATCAGCATAGCCACAATCACAAACACACCATAATGAATAGTACATATAGTCACATGATCAAGTAACAGTTCATGGCATGTAGTGGTTCACACATAATCATATCATTAGATTCAGTTCGCATTTTCTTATTCACATACATGCTTGCATACAATGAAACAATTAACCAGAGTATATCACACAAATAGAAAATTAGACTATCACCTACCTCGAAACCAAGCTTGAATCCTCTTAAGACACTTGAGCCTTCCCTTTCCAAATTCTTTTCACTTGTTCTTGGTCTAAAACAAGTAATTTAATGCAAGGATCAATAAACAAGGCCTAATTTACTCGGATAATAAGCAATCTATCAATCCATGGCCAAATCCAAGATCCTAATAATCAATTAGGGCTTCTGCCACCATTAATTTTAGGCCAAAACCCTCCCCAATGATAATTACCCAAGATACTATGTTCTACAAATTGAAATACAGATTAGGAGAGTAATTTCCTTACCTTTAGTACTAAAACACATGGGAAATTGTTAAGAGCTGCTCTAGGTCATCTCTTAGCTCTCAAGAATGAGGTTTTGCAGAAAATAACGATTTATGGGTTTTTCCCCGACTTAATTCGCGACTAGCTCGCCACAGCGGAACCCAATCTGCCCTGGCGGGATAAATCCCTCCCCGGCAGCTTGCACAGAGATAGACGGTCGGAATTTGAATTCCAAACTTCCATTTCGCGACACACCTTCAACCCTCGACGTTTAAAAACTACCCTTTCATGCTAGGATCAGTTTCGGGATTTCTACTCTCCCGAATTTAATTCCATAAAGTCGTACGGGCTCCTTAACGTCTTGGCTATCCACTCATGTGATAAAATTTATAATTAAACCCATTGATTGAATGCATCAAATACACCTTATCTGATTCTAGGTGTAAACGATCATCAATTAGTATAAAATCCAACGAAGATTGGGGTCGAACCCACATGGAGCAGTACCTGTCTAAAATTTAGTTATGAAGTTATATAGTTGTCTATTCGGTTATAGGAATAGAATTTATCGAAAACATGCAAATAAATCCAAGGGCGGTGACAACAAATTTCAGATGGGGGTTAGGGATTGTCAATTAGTAGCTACAACACAAGCAACATAGAGGAAATATCAATATAGAGAGGAATTTTGGGATGTGATCGGTTATAGGCAAATTTCACTGTATGGGTAATTGAAATTACTAATAAATAGCTAAATATCAGCGGGTAGGCTAGATTATAGATGCAATAGTTTTCTCTCAAACAACTACTACAAATCAGGTGATTTCTTTTGAACATCAACAAACTTAGCAAATAAGAACAACCCACACCTTAATTCATCCACTCTCTCGAGCTGGATGGGTAGAATCAGATTTAGGATTTACTCTTTCGAGCTAAACCCATATCAACCCAATAACTACAATCATTAATCAAAAGATTTGGTTCTAAAACTTCTCTCTCAAGCAAGCCCAGAACTATATACTAGAATTGCATTTGCAACTACAATTCATAGAGTTTAACACAACTATCAATTAAACCCGCTTCAATTAAGTATTAAAATCAGTAATAAAAATACCCATAAGCTAATTCACCCCATAATCAAATGATCACACCCCAAGAATTGGGGTTTAGCTAAATATCATAAAAAGTTAAAAATAATTACCAACTCGATTAGACATTAGCAGGGTAGGAGTCTCCAAGCCTTTACAATGTTTTCCAAGGGTTAAATTCAAAGACCCACTTACAAATCCTCAAAGTTTTCAATATGAACTCAAAAAACTAGAAGAAAACTCTAAAACTAGAACTTGGGGATAAAAAAGTATCTATGAACTTTCCAGACTCCTCAAAATTCCTTTTAAAATCAAATTTATAGTTGCCTGTGTTTTCGCCAGAAAGTCAACTTGGCGGTATAAGTCGCGCCTAATCGAGTGGTTCCGCG